TCCCATCAATCAGGATCATCTAAGATTGTGTGGGGAAGGAGGGGACAAGGCAATAAAATCAGGCATCTGGCAGCAAGAGGAGGTGGTGGGTTCTGAGTGACCACCAGTGGTGATTGTCACAGTCAACCAGGTCTCCTTTCTTCTAGAGATCTGGATTTGATATCAGTCGGACTTGGCCTGTCTCTGGTTCTGATCAGTGCCCACAGACTAGTGATCGTGGGCAGTCTCTCCCTCTGAAACGTGGGGATGCCAACCCACTTGCCCCGCCCTTGAATTCCCTTGTAACTTATGGCGCATGCTTGTGAATCTCGTCATCCCCAGGATCGCACAACGGAACCGGAACACCTGCAGGCTGCTGGAGGAGCCTTTGCCAGACACAGGTGAGCATGGAGGTGGGAGAGAGCCCTTGGAATCTTCATGGGCAACTGAGGGGCTGGGGCTCAGAGACCCAGGGTCAACCAACAAAGGGGGATGGAGGGATGGGGTGGGAAGGCTTGCCCCAAGCTCTGAGCTGTTCCCCAGGTCCCTGCAAGCACCATGTTCCAGAGACTTGCAGTGACATTGAATTGCCCCCCCCCCCTCGTGGTCTCCCCAGATCCTGGCACCTTCCTGTTGCCGGCCCACGTCATAGCTCCAGGCCTGACACAATGCATGCTGGGATTTGTGTGTAAGTACATGCTTTCCCCCTTGGCCATCCACGTAGAGCTGGGGAAGAGAGTCCAACCTTAGGTCATGCTGACATGAGGAGGTAGGGCGGACAGTCTATGCTGGGATGGTGTTGCTCCAGCAGGATTTCATTGATGGTTGGAGAGGCTGACTAATAAGAGGGGGTGTGAGCTGCCAGACACCCCACACACACACTTTGCCTCCATTCTGGCCACTGGGGCAGGAGACAAAGGTGAAACATGGGCACGGTTAGAGGTAACCCTGCCTCCCTGCAGAGACAGCTTCCACTTCCATGCGCCTTCATTCACTCGCTCACCCACTTACTTGCTCATCCATTCAGACATTTCATTTCCCCAACCATCTGTCCTGCTGCTGTAATATCCAAGCAGCCCATTCGTTCATCCATCCGTCCACGGGGTCATCCATCAATTCACTCATACTTGTATTTGTTGCTGTGTCGATCTACCCAGTCATTAACCCACTCTCGTGCCCTCGTCATCTCTCCTGCCAGCCCTCCTCCCATTCATACTGCCATCTATCCATGCACCTTCCCATCTACCCACACCCCATACAGCCAACCTCCTTTCCATCCTTCCATCTACCCATCCTTTCAATAAATAACCTTGAGCCCTTACCTTGGCTGGGCCCCATGCTGGGCAATTCTCCCAAGGGAGAACCAAAGACCCTCTCCTAGTATCTGAGGGGGTGAGCATTAGCACAATTCAGACCTTTATGCTCTTGAATCGCCCATGATTTAAGCACCTATGGTCTTCTCGCCACAAATATTGCTTACGTACAGGACCTGTGCTCAGTCCACGCTGGCACGTACCCTTAAACAGAGCAGAGAGCAGTCCTCAACTCAGTCACCACACCAGGAGGGCCTACGCAGCTTTCCCCGGGCCAAGGGCAGCTAGCGAGTTCTTGAGTGGGTATGGGAACAAGAGAGCAGCTGCTCACTGCTTTCCTGTCTCCCAGTAGCCTGGTTCACCTGCCTGGCCTGCTTCCTGAGGACAAGAGCCTACCGAGTGCTATTCAACTCCTGCAGGTAAGCAGAAGCGGGTTTAAGAGGGGGCTGGGGCCTGGGACCAGGCAGCTAGAGACTACCGACTACCGTGGCGGCTCCCTCATTGATTCAGATCTCCCCTGGGCTTTCCTCAAGGAGCCCTGGGGGCTGTGTGTCCTCCGTGTGGGGCTCCTGGCTGCACACGTTGCAGGAGGAAAAGGAGATCATCTGCCCCTGAGAAGATGTGCATGGTTGGAAGCCCGTGAAGACAACAGTTAAAAGCTGACAGCATCGACTCATGAGCAGTGGGTTTTTTTAAAGGGTGGTGTGGTTTGGGGGGTTGGCTTTGTGGCTTTGGGTTTTTTTTTTCCTTTTATTTTATTTTATTTTAAACATTTTATTAGGGCCTCATACAACTGTTATCGCAATCCATACACACATCACTTGTGTAAAGTGCATTTGTACATCATTCTCAAAACATTTTCTCTCCACTTAAACCCCCGACATTAGGTCCTCATTTTTCCCCTCCCTCCCCGCTCCCCCCTCCCTCATGAGCCCTTGATAGTTTATAAATTGGTATTTTGTCATATCTTGCCCTGTCCGACGTCTCCCTTCACCCCCTTTTCGGTTGTCTGTCCCCCAGGGAGGAGGTCACATATAGTTCCTTGTAATAGGTTCCCTCTTTCCTCCCCACTCTCCCTTTACCCTCCCTGTTTTGCCACTCACACCACTGGTCCTATAGGTCTCATCCGCCCTGGATTCCCTGGATTTTCAGTTCCTATCTGTACCAGCGTACATCCTCTGGTCTAGCCAGACTTGCAAGGTCAAATTCGAGTCATGGTAGTGGGAGCAGGGAGGAAACATTTAGGAATTAGAGGAAAATTGTATTTCTCATTGTTGTTATATTGACTTTGGGTTTTTTTGTTTGTTTGTTTAGTTGGTTGGTTTGATTTTTTGCGTTCTTCTGGTTTCCCCACCCCAGAACTCACAGCGCCCCGCTCCCCCCATCCTTCTAGCTCTCTGTGAGCCTGCCTCACTCTTCTCCTGCCCTGTGTGGACCCACTCTGCTGGCTTGTGGGGACCCCTTGATACACCATCCCTGTCCCCCACCCCTTGGCACATGCTTCTCTTCCAGCCCCAATGCCCTCCTGCCCTCTCTCTTTACCCTTCCATGGCAATCACTCGGGATCCCTGCAGAGTTGCGCCTTGTTCAGCCAGTTCAGGTTTCCATCTCAGCTGCTTCCTGAAGGCCTACCCAGGGCCCAGGAGTGGCCCCGCCACTCACAAACTCTCCGCTGGGTGGGGAAGGCAGCTGCCCAAAGTGGTAGTGCCAAGCCTGTGAGGTGATGTCCCCGAACTTGTGGTTACCACTTTCTGGGGTCCTGGAATCCCTTCCCAGAACCCACTTCACACACACACACACACACACACACACACACACACACCTCACCACTTGGCTTTCTCAGGCACGGGGAATCTCCTGCCACCTCCGTACAAGTATCCTGGCCTGGGAGGGAGAGGTAGGAAGTGGACAATTCTGTTTTCGCCCAACACATACATTTTTCATTAAACTAACAGTTTTATTGAGACATCCTTTTACATAGCCTAAGTTCACCTCTTTAAAGTGTCCAGTTCTGCGGCTTTTGTGCATTCACAAGGTGGCCCTCCATCCATGATCCGATCCCAGAATATTGTCACCGTGCCAGAAAGAAACACCTCCCCCAGCCCCTAGTGCTAGAGGAAGGGGCGTTCGAAGTGAACCAGACAGACCTACTCGCCCAATGAGTTCGGCAGAGAGAAGGGAAGGATGGAAGGGGACAAACAGCACACCGAGGGAGAAAGGGGGCGATGAAGACAAGGGTGACCACTGACGGTCTACGACGTTAGAGGATGAGCTTTCTTTCCTTCGGACACATACGGTGGTCGGCCTCTTGGAGAGGTGGCACTGCCCAGAAAGGAATCCCTCAGGGTGGGAGAGGGGAGAGGGCCTGGCAAGGACTGCCAGTCTGTGCACGGCCCTGCTTCCCCTTCACGGCTGATCCTCTGCCTTCCAGGCCCAGGCTGCTCTTCCAGAAGCTCATGGAGAAGATAGGCCTCCTGGCGCTCTGCGTGATAGGTGCGTCCCCGGGACTGCCCGGTCCCCGGTCAAGCACTGAGGATGGCGCCCTTGGGTTGGAACTCAGTGCAGGGAGGGCAAGAAAAAGGTTCTAGTATAGGCGGGCCGTACTACACTGGGCAAGACACTGCCCTTCTCCAAGCCTCGGTTTCCCCATCTAGCTAATGGGTGTTGCTGGGTGGATTAAATGATGGTGCATATGCTCTCCCTAAAGCATACTATGACATGTAGTTCTTGTTACCACTTTCTGGGGTCCTATGGCCCTTTTCCAGATCCCACTTCATCCCCCACCTCACCGCTTTGCTTTCTCCAGCACAGGAATCTCCGTTCAGGAATCCTGGCCTGGGAGGGGGAGGGGGGAGGAAGAACAGCTCTGCTTTTACCCAACACATAGATTGTTTGATAAACTCTCAGCTCTATTGAGACATAATTTGCATAACCTTTTCAAAGGATACAGTTTGCTGGGTTTTAGGTGGGCCTCCATCACCATTATCAGAAACATGCCAGAAACAACCTCCCTCAACCCCCAGCAGCCATTCCTCATCCACTCACTTCGGACCAGGGCCAAAAAAAAAGAAAATTAAAAACCCAAATCATGGCATCAAGTCCATCTGAGTACATAGCGACCCTCTACAATAAGGTTTCCATGGCTAAAAGCCTTTATAAGACCAGACGGCCTCATCTTCCTAGGCAACCACTGGTCTAGCTCTCTCTTTCCCTGTGCCTACTCTGGACATTCCCAGGCATGGAATGAGGCAATGCGGGCTTGCTTTCTCCAAGGCACGTCCGTGCCCTGGCTCATATCAGTACTCTGCTGCTTTTCTGGGCGCAAACATTCCACCTTATGGATCCACCACTTTGTTGATCCGCTCAACTGTTGATAGATATTGAGATGACCTCCACTTGGGGGCTTTTATGAACGACAGTTATGAAAGACCTGTGTACATTTTTGCGAGGCTACCCAGTGTTTATCCTCTTGGCTACAGTACTAGGAGTAAAAATGGCGGGTCGTAGTGAAGAGGTGGTTCCGCTTAACTCTCTGGGCCAGTCCCCAAACTTTTTTGAGATGGTTTCCAGTGTCTCCGCACCCCCGCCAACACCTGTAATCATTGCTCTGGCGGCCAGACTGAAAGTCAAAGGCAAGCCAGGGGCATCAAGCCGATTCCATCCTAGCGGTTGTAAAGTAGTGTCTCAGTGTGGTTTCCGTTTGCATTTCCTGGGTGGCTCGTGGTACTGAGCACCGTTTGTGTGCTTGCTGGCCACGTGTGTATGTCTTTGGAGGGGGATGCTCATAATTTGGTTCCAGGCAGCCGCTTCACTTACCTGATCTTCTTCCAAAATGAAACACTAGCTGGTGCTGCGATCACCTTTTCTAGAGGGTTAGCTAAATTCCTCATCGTTGCATGATTCTGGTTAAGTGGCAAAACTGGGGTTTGAACTCAAAGACACCTCAACTTTAAAGCCTACCCTCTTGACTTTCCACATCAAATAGCTCACTGTTATCCCCCCCCCCCCCCCCCCCCCACAGGATTCTGGGTGTTGTCTATTCACTTACCATCAAAAATGCACTTCTGTCAGGTGAGTTCATGTCCTGTTCAGTTCCACCCACGACGAGTGTCACTGAACCTAGTTGGACCCTGTGAAATTGGGGGCCGAGCTGGCCTCGGAGGAGGGTTGCTCTGACCCAAGTTCCTGGAGGTCACCCGTGGCGCTGAGATGTGAGTGGGCTCTTTGGGGCATGGCCTGGAGTGGGCGGGCTCTTCTGGGCGTGGCCTGTGGTGGGCGGGCTCTTGGGGGCGTGGCCACGAGTGGTGGGCTCTTTGGGGCGTGGCCTGCAGCAGTCAACCCTGCTGCGCTTGCACACTAGTGTCACCTCCTTGGCTCCCCTCACTCTCACCACAACCAAACCCTGCTACAAGCCTTGCTTGAGCAGAAAAACGACCTTGGACAGGGGGAAAAGTGTATTTTCCCTGACCTCCACCTCCCCAGAGCTGACCCACTGGAGAGACAGGAGGAGAAACTCAATGACTTAAGCTTCCTGCCAGAGGACAGCAAACAGATCTATGGGGAAAGCCAATCTGAGTGGCTGTCGTCCCTCCCAGCTTTCCCCACCTGATCCATTTCTTAAGCTTTCTTCAAGGACCAGTTAAAGTGTCTCCTCCCCAAAAAACACCTGGAAGACAGACGTGGTCACGTTTCCCTCTCTCCTCTCATTGTCCTTTAATTAGGAATGCAATGTCATAATGATAATCCCTGAGTAGATGGTGACTCCCTGAAGACAAGAGCCAGGTCTTATTTGTCCCAGGAACGTCCAATACAGAGCCAAGCACAGGGCTTTCCTGATCAATGTTACATTATGACCAGATGGGAATGGAATATTGGGAGGAGGGATTGGTGGTTGGATGGCTGGGTGGGAACATGGATGTGATGGATGGATAGATAGATGAGTAGAGAGAAAACAGGTGGGAGGATTGATGGATGGATGAGTGAAAACGTGGATAGATGAGAGGTTGGATGAATGGGTAACAGAATGGATGGCTAGGAAAGGATGAACAGATGATATAATACATGGGTTGGAGA